GTTTTAAGTTAATTAGGAGACAAAGAATATAAATTTTAAACTTTAAAAAAACTTTCACAAAAAATATAACACAAGCTAAACCAAACTTGTTTTGTTTGAAAAGTGTTATCTGATTAGCTTATACAAATCTCCTTGCCTAAAAATGTTGGCATGCTCAATGCATTATACAAGTACCAAATATGGCATACTAATGAACACAAAGTAACCCAAATTAATTAGCAAGTACCTAACTCAATCAAACCCATTTCATATCGAAATCATGCAAACTCATAAGGGATAAGCTTTTAATAATAATGTATTAACTATAATTAACAAGTGTGTTTGTTTTATAACGAATGGCCAAGCTAAGGATAATCATAGAGATATAATCTAATAATTCCTTGATTATCATTGATAATAAGGTTGTTTGAAGGTTGCTCGTGCTTATGCCTTACCAGGTGTAGTCGAATAATCCCTCCACTTGTGTTCCACTCATTCATTTTAGTAATTTATTACAGTTACTTCCATTATACGTCAACATGCATGCGCTACATTTTTATAAGAAGGTAATTCATTTTCCAATGGAAACTTAATTTTCCACGATCATGTACATGACACAAAACGTTTTTGAATTGTTAATAAGTAATGTTGTTTTAATTCAAAATATTTTGAATTTTTGTATCAATGAGGATTTATAAATAAAGTTCATTCCTCCCTTTTTTTTTCTTTTCCTTTCAAATGTATTAAAAAAATGAAAAACTATATTAATATATGATGAAGTGATTTGTTAGTTTCTTTCACCTCATAAATTACTATATTAATGATGGAACACGAGGAAAAATTGGGTAAATTAATGACCAAAAGTGTAATATTTCTATTTTGAAAAGAGTTTGGATTTACTCACAAGTCTTTATAAATCTAAATCCACAAGTCACAATCTTCTTTCCAGTTTTCTCCATGTCTTATTTCAAGTATGCTTTTTATTTTGGATAGTTTGGGAGAAGGAAAGTACGCTTACCACTAGATTAGACTTTCTTTAAAAAGACAAACCTTTTTAATCTACTTCTATATTTTTCTCATAAATTTAATTTTAATATGTATCCATTTACTTATGTAAATGTCTAATTAACAAGTTATAGTGAAATATATAGTGAGGGACAAAATTGATTTCTACTAAATTAAAAAAGACCGACTTTCAAATTTATGGATTAATCAAACCAAAAAAGTCCTACTAGTTTAGGAATATATTGCTCATTTAAGAATAAATTGCAAATAATAATAATAATATAGAGATTTCATCTCTAGTGTTTTGTCTCTATTCGTATTTTCTCTCCCACATCTCTTTCTCCTCCTAATTTTGACTTTTTTATTCCTTGTTTATATTTAAGGTAAAACACTCCTACCTCCATAAATTTTGATTAAAATTTCAAACAAATTTATTAATTTTCAAAATAGATACTCTACCTCAAAAAGTACAAACACTATTAACAAAGAGTATGAAATAATTAAAATATCATTTTTTTATTAATTTAAAAAATTATTATTATATTTTTTAAAAAATAAAAAAATAAAAAACATCGATCGACGCTCCCTGAAGGAGGGAGGGGAGCACAAAATCTATGCTCTCAAGGGAGGGAAGCATCGATGCTCCCTTCGAGAGCTCCAAATCCTTAAGGACAGCATGGGAGCACCCCAAATGGGGATTTTCTTAATTAATAAAATTATATAATAATAATTTTAAAAATTAATCAAGAGTAAGGTTATCTTTTTATCTTTGTCACGTTATCAAATTGATAAAAATATTAACAATTGACTAATGATTAGATTTACGTGTCTATCAAAAAATATTTTTTTAAAGCGGAGTATCCATTTTGGGTGAGGGTGATATTCTCTCCCACACCGTTCCTCACTCTTAATTTTGACCTTTTCATTCCTTGTTTATAATTACTAATTGTTTTAATGCACTCATCTTATATGATGATCCAAATTCAAAGCTATCGTAACATAAATTATTAGGTTAATTTGGGTAAAATACAAAAACATTTGAGATTTGCTTGAAACTATAATTATTTTTTATGAATTTAAAAAATATTTATTTTTTATTAATTTAAAAAAATATTTTCTTACTTTTTAAAAGTTTGATAGAAAATACACTTATTCCATGAGATTTTGTAATATTAATTTATATATTATTTGATACTATTAAAATTAAAAAAAAGTTTTTAATGAAAGTACATTAATTATATTAATATTTATAATAAAAAGTATTTAAAATGGCAATATAAATATTATTTGTAAATACTTGTGTGTCTACATATATTTATATATATATATATAGTATGGATGTTGAAAAAACTTTAATTAATGAAAATGAACATTTTTGCTTATTATATTTTTAAATTTCTATTTTAAATAGTTTTATTATAAATATTTAAAAATTTATCCCATTTGTAAATAGAAAATTTAGTTAAATCAATTAAATTTTATTAAAATTATTATTTATTATAAAGATTAAGAAGACTTATTAGATTTGTAAATAAAAAGGTTAATTTCATTGAATGAATTTCATTAAAAATGTTTTTCTTAATTTTAATAGTATTGTTTAATTTGCAGATTAATATTACAATTTAATTGTTTATACTTTAAAAGTTATATTTTAGTATTAATTGTATTAATTAAAAATAATTAAAATATATAAGTAGTCACGTGACAAAAGATATGATTATAAATTAAATAAGCACGTGAAAAATTGCAAATATAAGGTTCAATCAACATAACCCAAAGGAAATTTTCTTCACTGAATTATAAGGTCATTTTAGTCAATTGATATTCCGAGACCATAATTGTAAAAAAAAAATAAAACAATACCGGGCGAAAGCTTTTACGGAACCAACAACGACAACAACCAACACCAACCGCCAGTTCCATACTTCCATTATTAAAAACAACAGGAGAAAGAAAAAGCATTGCCTTATTTTTATGTTTATTTTTCCTATTATAAATACTTATTACATGTCTTTTAAACTGTTGCTTGACGCCACCTCTTCCAACCCCAAGCCCAAGCCACCTTATAATTTCTCTCTCTCTCTCTCTCTCTCTTCTCTGTTTACCCTCACTCAGATTTTTCTCTTTCTCTCTCTTAGCCGCCACCCACCTACTCTTCCTTCTATGGACACCGCCTCAGACAACCACAGCGCTTCCTCTTCCTCCTCTTCTTCTTCTTCGGACGTCGATGGCACGCCGCGTGGAGCAACCTCGGCTGTCCGTCGAGCTCTACAGTTAATCCAATCCGACGACTCAGATTCCAAGCTGCAAGCCGCTAAGGAAATCCGGCGACTCACCAAAACTTCCCAGAGGTGTCGGCGGCTTCTCGCCGACGCTGTTATTCCACTCGTTTCTATGCTCCGAGTTGACTCACCTGAGTCCTACCACGAGTCCGCCCTCCTCGCCCTCCTTAACCTCGCCGTTAAAGACGAAAAGTACGCTAACCCTCTTTCTCTTTAATCGCAATTAATAAAATATCGTAACGTGTATATTTGAAGTATTTTAAGGAAATATTTTTTAGTAATTCGAAGCTTTTTGCGAATTAGATTACTAATTTTTGGATTTTTTTTTTCGGCAACTGGAGTTTTGGTGGATTGATTTTCACGTTGATTACTCTTTACTTTTTTCTTTTTGAAAGTATTTTATAATTTTCAGGAATTCGAGGAAAAAGGTTCTTGTCTTGATTCTCTTTCTTCTTTTTTATTATAATTAAATTTGAATTTTTTATTTTCTATATATCTAACCGCTGATTGGTTGTAAAAAGAATATTCGGAGCATCAAAGAATTATTATTTAAACTTTCCAAATATTTTGGACGTACAATTATATACTAGTAGTAATTTCTTGAAAAAAAAAATTTATTTATATGTCCTTGTGTCACCGACTAAAATTATAATTAGACAGGGTTGGGTACTTGGGTTGTTGATTCACCTTAAAGTGAGGGTGAATTTTGGGATTATCCTTATAACCTTTAAAAAGAGTTGGATGCTTTCTTTTTTTATATAGCTGAATTTTGATTAAAATATGTGGTTGTTCTTTTATGTTCACATGTTTTCTTCTTTCTTTCTTTCTTTTCCCTTTTTATTTTCAACCTTTTTTTTTCTTTCTATTATCTTCTCTTTGAAGTTATTATTTTGTCATCATGAATTTGTTTGGTGATGTAGAAATATATGTACTTTCCCCAAATTTAAAGAGGAACTATTTTTTTAATCTTACCCTGTTAACCTTTTTGGGATTGTTATTTTTTTAATCTATGAAAGTGTATTTTGTTTCCTTTAAAATGAAGCTACCCAATGGGATTAACCCAAGAATTTTATATTAGTAATCCTAGATTAATTAAGACATTCATTGGTTAATTAGTTTAGTTAATTTTTTTTTGTTTTGAAATCGATTGGTTTAGTTAATAATCCTAGATTAATTAAGACATTGCTCTTGAGCTTTTACTGCTGACCTAGAGAATTTACAACTTGTTCCGTAACACAAATTTTTTGTGTCTTAAATTTTTTTTTGTTCCTTTTCAATCATGAAAAGAAATCAGTAAACTTATCCATAAAACCTTAGTCCATTAAGATAGAATTACTTTGAATTTGATTACTAAAATCAGATATAATTCTTAATAGGTGTTTTTTGTTTTATGTATTTCAAGTAATATTTGAGTTGCTTTACAGTGCCAACACTGTTAAATTTATGATCTTGTACTTGTCATATTTTTTGGTGTTTGAATGAAGAGAAAATCTCACTATTGTTGTGTTGCAGGAATAAGATCAGCATTGTGGAAGCAGGTGCCTTAGAACCAGTTATTAGCTTCCTTGAAAGTGAGAACTTAAACCTACAAGAGTATGCAACAGCTGCTTTGCTCACTCTCTCTGCTTCTGTCAACAACAAGCCCATTATAGGCGCATCGGGTGCCATTCCTCTGCTTGTGGATATCCTTAGACATGGAAGCACACAAGCTAAGGTTGATGCTGTAATGGCTCTTTCCAATCTCTCAACACACCCTGACAATCTTAAAATGATTCTTGAAACCAGCCCCATCCCTTCTATAGTCAGTTTACTGAAAAGCTGTAAAAGGTCTTCAAAAACAGCTGAAAAATGCTGTTCTCTGATAGAATCCTTGGTGGGTTTTGGTAAAGGAAGAACAGCTTTGACAGCTGAAGAAGGTGGAGTATTAGCAGTTGTGGAAGTGCTTGAAAATGGCACTCTCCAAGCTAGGGAGCATGCTGTTGGGGCACTACTGGCAATGTGTGAGAGTGACCGATGTAAATATAGGGAACCGATTCTTAGAGAAGGTGTAATTCCTGGACTACTTGAGCTAACAGTGCAAGGAACACCCAAGTCTCAGACTAAAGCTCAAACCCTTTTGCGGTTACTGAGGGATACTCCTTATCCCAGATCCGACCTTCAACCTGACACACTAGAGAACATTGTTTGCAACATAATCTCTCAGATCGATGGCGATGATCAATCTAGTAAAGCAAAGAAAATGCTGGCTGAGATGGTCCAAGTTAGTATGGAGCAGAGCTTGAGACATTTACAGCAGAGGGCTCTGGTCTGCACCCCAACTGATTTGCCCATTAGTAGCAGTTGTACTTCTGAAGTTTCCTTGAAATGATTGCTTCTGTTTTTCGGCTTTTTTCTGTTTTACATTCCTCCCCCCTCCTCCCCTTGTGTTGTTTGTTATATAAAATGTTCCTCTGTAGAAAAGATGAAATAACATACAGTGAAAAATGCCAGTCCAGGCCGTTTGTGGTGATATCGGTATCGGGTGACTGGTAAAAGTGTCACTAAACTGGAAATTATATGAAGTTGAAAGCATAAATAGTTTCCAGTTTGCTTGTAAAGAAAATGTTGTATGAAATGTTATACAGTCTTTGAAGTTTTCCCTTCTCCTCTTCTCTCATGGCGTATGATTTGATTGAAGTAAACCTATTGAGAACACGAGGAAGAGAGTTTAAAGCCTGGCTCTGATATCATTGTCACCAAACAACATCAACATGCCTGGCTGTACGTTGACAGAAAATTTCAGTCTGGCATGCCAAACATGGATGGCTCAGAAATAATTACACATGTTTAGTCTTTGACATGGTCTTCTTCAGGAAAACTATTTCAATCTTTATCATCATTTCTGAAAACAGGAAAATTCCATTTTGCATTGGGATCACGAATTATAGCTTTGGTTAGCAGAGATGAGGTAGAGTAGCAGGCTGACCATGAACTTGAAATTTATCAAGCTGAGTTTTCATTGGAGGATGGGGCGGCTTTCAATTGAAGAGAGATGGGCATCAAGTCACCATCAATCCGGTGTTTGTTGAATTGATATTTGCGACCTTTGTGAGGGTCAATTATAACTCATTACTTGCTGAATTTTGTATGAAAACTGTTGTTGTCTCATTCTTAATGGAGGACAAGTCAGTTGATATGGTGGGAAATTCCCATTCAAAGTGGAGGCAATTTTCCTGCTTTTTCAACTTGTCTTCTACGGTCCTTGCATTTTTTCTCTACAGTTTCAACGACAAAACTCACCACCAAAACCGTTAATGCGTCAATCAATGGATTCAAAACAAGGGTTAAATTATCACCACCACATATGCCAAATCCAATTTCGGAAACTTCCTGGTAAAAGCAGAGGGTGAGTTCTCATTGGACAAATTGCTTTATAAAAGAAAAAAAGGAAAAAATAATTCAAAGTATACACAATGCTGCAGGATGAAATCACAATAATCAAAATATTACATTCTAATTTGAACAAAATAACAAATTAAATCTTATAACAATAAATTTAATAAATGTGGAATCTTAAAATAAACATTTAACTTGTTATTTTTAAATAAAAGTGTCATAGGTGCAAGAAAAAGGAGGCCCTTCTCTACTGCGAGGCAGGGGCTCTCCCGCATAGATAACTAGGCAACTCCCAAGTGTAATGAAGGTGTGTAGCTAGCTAGGCCATGGAGCTTCCTAATTAAGCACCCATATGACTCTGCACTTTGATCAATTAATTTGGGCACGCCTTGAACCGACCTAGCTTAAAGGATCTCCTACTTGGGTCACTTTGAGTGAGTGATGGTGTCTAACCTAGGCGATCGGACCTTCCTAAATCACCCATTTACTTTCAACGAACACAACTTGCAATAAATTAGCTCTTTCTCAAGAACCTAATGCTTACCTTTTTCATTAATTATCCAATATAAGACGCCTCTCCTCGTCACAAAATGTGCTAGAAAGCACGTTTACTAGCATGCCCCTCACTTATGTTTATGTATAACATCTGCATAAAATATGGCATGATATGCTGTTTCATGCAACAAGTCAAATAATTTGATTGTTCACTAATGACATCCAACAGGGGTTCAAGGCCCCAGCTTCCAGGTTTGATTAGATTAGATTATTATATTAATGAATAATATATTCTCATTTGATTTCAATTTTAAAATATTAAAATATTAATATGAAAATTAAGATTTGTATTATTTAAGTAATAAAAAAATAGTTAAAATAAATGTGTCAAGCCCAGCTCGGACTTGGTTTTTCAAAGGAGGCTTGATAGGCTCGGCTCACTCGATTTATGGGCATCGTTTTTTTTTTTTTTTGGAAGAGATTTATGGGCATCTTTAATTCTTTATATCCAGGTAATAAGAAATAGTAAATTCATGGGTTCTTTTTTTAAAAAAAATTTTTTTGGAAGTAGTTAGACACTTTAGTGTTTTCCACATAATATATACAAAATTTATGAAATAGACTCTCGTATTCTATCGTTTAGCCGGTACGAAGGATGGAAATGGGGAGGGAAAAAGAATGATGGAAATGGAGAGGAAAAGAAAATTTTTTTTACCTAATGATTGAGTTTTATAACCACTTTCCTTAATTCGTGGCTTAACCATTGGACTACAACATAGTGAAGGTACGTTGCTTAACTAGGCCATGGGCCAAGAAGGCCTATTGACTACATTGCTATGTACTTCACATTTATATAGCAAGCCATTGGCTCAAAGTATCGAACGTCTAATGTAGCTAACTATTTCCCATCATCAGTTATTGACATATTTGGAGTTTGGGTTTTAATTTTCCTTTTATCCATGGCATCTAGCTAAATTGTAAAGTCAAAAAGAGTGTGTCTTTCCATATCAACAAGATGATATCATCATACTGTCTAGAACTTTTATTTCTTTCTTCTTCTTTTTTTAGTTTTTTGAGAATATTGATAGCTTCTTTATGTTCCTATATATTGCCAACTCATGAATTCATCTTGACAGGAACACTCAATAAAAAAGACACGAGAAATGATTCTCAAGGTTGCACTCATATATTCAAAATGCACTATATATAGCTTGCTAGATTCCAAAAACTTGATGTAATACACTTCAGAATTTAATTCAATTAATACACATATATATGTATTTAATATAAAAAGATTGATATGAATCTTTTTTTAAATTAGATCTTAATGTTTATTTTTTCTATAAAAAATTGGCATAAAAATTAAAGATTTGTATGTTAAAAAATTATCTTTTATTTATTATGTATTTTATTTCAAACTGTAATGTTATATAACTTTAACTATGTGCATATTTAAATTTTATATTGATGATCTAAATCCCCTTTTATTCGGTGAGTTGAAATCAAAATCTGAACTTTTATAACTATTTCCAAATTTTTATGGTGTGTGTAGATAAGTTAAATTTTAACTAATAACTAGTGGAATAACGACTTTGTCACCTATCAACCATGTTAAAGTTTAAGTAATTTGAATATGTTGAATTCGATTTCTTTACTGTTTAACTAAGTTCGAGTTTGACTGGTTCGAATATTTTAACTTTAAATATTTTATTGGAAAACTTAAGCCAATCACTAAGCTAATCAACTTTTCGATTGTTAATTATTTCCTAATGCAATATATATATATATAGTGATAATTTTCTTTATATAAAGTTATAAAATTTAGTTAAGTTACAATCTTATATTGGTTCCAACTTTAGGTCGAACCAAATTGATCATTCTACTTCAAATACCTTAATTTATTATTATTTTTGAACCAAACAATAAGATTCGAGCTTAATTTGCCACTCTTAGTTCAAAGCGATCAAACATCCACTTTTTTTTTAAAAAAATCTCTATCCAAATTATCCCAAACAAATCCACTTTCATTATCTTAATTTAAAACCATTTTAGACCCTTTCAAACCCTAATTATCCACACATCGCTTCTCCCAAAACTACCTGCTATTTTTTCTTTCATTGCTTAACTATGGCTACAAAGACTGACAATATTGAAGAAGAAGAAGAAATATCAAAGATGGAACAAGGTCATCCCACCTCAAATAAATCTGAAACTGATCAATTATCCATTCTTTGTTCTTCAACTTCTGTAGTAACCACAGTGCAAAAGGTCAGTCATGAGCAAATTCGACATTAATAGTTTGATTTAATTTTATTGCGTAAATATTATTGGATTGATATCTTTTGCGGGTTGTTTCTTTCAGCTGATTGCTGAGTTTATTGGTACTTACTTCATAATATTTGCCGGTTGCGGTTCTGTGGCTGTGAACAAAATCTACGGATCGGTCACATTTCCAGGCGTTTGTGTAACATGGGGTCTAATTGTGATGGTCATGATCTATTCAGTTGGCCATATTTCTGGGGCTCATTTCAATCCAGCTGTTACCATCACCTTTGCAATTTTTCGTAGAATCCCATTTAAGCAGGTAAATTATTACTACTTTTTATTTTTAATACGACTTTGGGTGGATAAATTTTCAGTGATTAAGTCGTCTCGGTACTCTAAAACCGAAACACATGTTGAGTCTGGATTCAAAGTATACCATCAGAGGGACCGCTTCATCAATTTCACTGATTCTAAAAACAGTTTTTTCTTAATTTATGGTGTTAATTAGGCCCTACTTTGCCGTCTTTTTTGACAAACTTTTTAGATTAGGCTACAATACATTTTTTTTTCTTATTATCTTTATAAAAAATAAAAATGTCAATGATTATCTTGTAATTGAGTATCTTACATTATTCGATTAAGTAAAATTAAAATATTTATAATCTGTTTTGTTTGGAAAGTGGTTTTTGTTCCTTCATCACCAGCTTATGTCATGACAAGCCTCTTTTGCGAAAGATTTTGATGGCATAAAGAGTTTGACGTAGGAAAGAGCCTGCACACTTACAAAAAATAAGCTAGCTTCCCATCTAGCCACTGTCAACATGGATCAATACGAAAGATCCGTCAAAGGACAACAAAAGCCTAAGATCTTCCTGAAACCTCGAATGGAGAACTAAAGACAATCTGACAACAACAACGTTCTCTAATAGAAAAAGGGCAAAAAGAGAAAGCCCAAAGAATCAGAGCTACCAAGAAGAGATGCTCCCTACTGAACAAGAAGCAAAAGATCGACCAAAACCAAATGCCCAAAAGTCAAGGGGCAATCATCAGCCGTCCACAACAGCAACGCACCTTATCCCAACAGAAAGCAACCTGCAGGGCAAATAGAGCCTTCAAAGCAATTACTAGGGCCAAAAAACAGTCTTCGAAGAACTCCCGCTAAAACACGAGAAATAGTCGAAAATCCCGAAGAACACAGCTCGAGCCAAGAAGGAAATAAGCATGGAAAAGCAGACCATGCTGCCTCTGAGCCATCCCTTCAACATAACAAGTCGGCGACCACCAACAGAGCCCTTGAAGACCCCTCCCCCTCAATCATCTGTAAACCATGGCAGCAAAAAACCATGCCAATGCAAAAGATCAAACCCCAAGACCGCCAACCATCAAACAGATCGTACCACACCAAGCCCCTTCCTCCCTTCCCTTCCCTCTTACAGAATCAGAAGAATCGCATACCAAACCAGATCAAAAAATCATGATCAAAACAAGAACGCCAACTATCACCCAATCCCTAAAGAACCTTCAATTTCATAATCCTCCATCCTCAACTACTGAGGACCTTTACATACATGAGAACATGGAAAAACAGAGTCAGCCACAAGCAACTTGAACCCTAAGACCCTAAAGACCATCCCAAACAAAATCGCCTTCCCCAAACCCTCAAAGGCCATAAAAAAAAATCGAGATATCACAACCGTAGACCAAGAAAAAGGCAATCCACCATCAATTCCCACCCCAAAGAAAACCTCTAATAGAGCAAAGGGACCAAAACAGACCTTCCTCCCAAGAAGATTGGGAGACCAATGTCCTTTTGTTTCAAAATACACAAAAAATTTTAAAAAAGATTTCTTTTCTTCTCTTTTCTTTTCCTTTTTTTTGTTCTTTTTTCATTCATTTTTTCTTTTTCTTCTACTTTTTTGAACAAAATTGTCCCCTCTAATTTTTTTTTTTGAGCTCAAAATATAGAACAAAATCCCCAAGCAACCTTTAGAAACAAATAATCTATCAGCTTGAAAACAGAGACAAAAGGACAAGAAAAATAAAGTAAAACAAACACAAAAACAGAATCATAAGGGAAAGAGACCCCCTGCCCCTAGAAGGCCACCATTACAAAAAATGCTCTAAGATCTCACAACCCCTCCCCCCAGTCGACACTTAAAGATAGTAACGTAACCAAAAAAACTCAAGAGCAGAGGCATCAATTAGGCCAAAATAAGCATAGTAACACAAAAACTAGTCAACAAAAAAGGTGAAAGGAAACTTAAAGAATGAACTCCTACCAACCAGAACATAAAGGCTTTCCATTGGCAAAAAACAATCAGCCGCATGCTATAGTCATTATAACTGTTTTTGAATTTCCTAGAATCCAACTCTTAAGAATTTCTCTTCTTTTTCTCTCAGAAAGAACCTTTTCTTTTCTTTCTTTTTCTATTATTTATTTCTCTCTCTTTTTTCCTGGTTTCCTTTTGGACTCTCAAGAACAGCACTTACCAGAGAGATGATCTCAGTCTACACTTTTATCTTGCAGGCTTTCCTTAAAGAAAACATGGTCTTAAAAATTCAAAACATTAAACAGAGGGAAAGCCATCACAAGAACCAAAAGAATGGACCATAAAAACAATTAGTGCACAAATCCATAGTAGAAAAAAGCATCAAAATTAATCAACTACCCATAAAAAATCTTCACTCCTCTCCACTCTCCCTTTAGCAAGATCATCAGCCATTTCATTAGCTGATCTAGATACTTTTCTGACCTCCCGTGCTCCTATATACCTTTTCAACTGTTCAATACCTAAAATGATCTTCCTTAGTCTCCAAGGAGATTCATCAAGATTATCAAGACAGGTCACTACATTACTAGGGTCACTTTCGATTTCCAACATGCTCATCTCCTTCCATTTTGAGGCTGCGAAAATCATAGACGCCTCTTTTGTAGCAAGTAACTCTACGGTATTCGCATCCATGACCCCGGCCACTTTTTGAGAACAAGACTTTGATTGCTCCATCAGGATCCCTCAGTGTCCTTCCTATCCCTACTTGGTCTGGGGATCCTCTTGCAACGCCATCGACATTGAATTTCAGTGCACCTGGATGGGATGCTGTCTAACACTTCCTCTTATTTTCAGACTCCTTTTTTGGAATGTGACCATGGTGGGATTCCTTATAATATCTTCAAACTTCTCACACTTCTCTGACCATTTGGTCTTTGCCCACCAAGCAATTCTAGTCGTTGTCTGATTCCCATCCCACAATTTCCCCAAGAACACCATCTCGTTTCTTATCAACCAAATAGTCTAACTAAATGCAAAAAAGATCAATCTCCACAATCTTCTCTCGCCTACTTGAACCAAATCATTCCATTCCAAAAAAAAAGGGATAGCCTTTGCTTGCATTCCTCCTTGAATCCCCCACCATTTAACCCACCCCATCCAAACCTTCCAACTCTCCTGACATTCGAAAAACAGATGATCCACAGATTCAACTTTTTCTGTACATAGTAAACACATTACCGATTCCGACCTCAATAGTCCTCTTTCCACCAATTTTGCTTTCACCGCCACTCTCCCTCTAATTACTCTCCAGCTAAACAATTCGATCTTGATCGGTGCCATCCCCGTCCACACAGACTTTCACATCGCCTCCACTCTACCAGTTTGTCCTGTTGCAACTCTACAGAATGACCTAATCGAGTAAACACCATTAAGTGTCCATTTCCAAATCAACTTATCCTCTAATTCAGATGCCACTAGGTATTCCTCCAAAACTTCCATTAATTGGTCCCACTGCTCCTTTTCCCACCCCAAAAGATCACCTCAATTGTATTTTCCACCTCCATTTTTCCCCAATCCGTTTCCCATAATCCTTAATGGACCCTTCCCTGTTAAGAGCTAAGAGAACATCTTTGGGAACACCCGTCTTAACCCCACTCCTTCCATCCATTCTTCAGCTTAGAAAGTTAACCTTTCCCTAGAGTATCTATAATTTGGTTCAAATAATAAAATTATTATCGGTCACGGAATGGGGTACGGTTTTGGTAATTGTGGATATCCATTACTCGAATTTGATTATAAATAATACCTTTTAATATTAAATTTTAGTTATATATATATATATTATGTTTGCTATTCAAATATATATTATGTTTTTTTGAAATTCTTTATAATTAATGTAACACATATCAAAATTCATTAACTGTTCTAAATATGATTTTAATTTTTTATGAATTATCTTTAATTTATTAATTTATTTTTCATTAATAATATATATAAATAATTTTAAAATTATTTTAATCAAATATTTAACAGATACAGTAATATTTAGAATATTCAAATACGAGTTCAGACAGTAATTAAAAATTTTAATTTAATATTTATAGGGTTTTGATTAGAATACTTAAAAAATAACAGGTATCAATTGTCTACATTACTCAAATATTAAAACGGATAGTAGGAAAAAGGTGTGTTAACTTGTTTTTTGCAGTAAAAGTAATAAGAAAAAAAAAATCATATTTGGTTGATTTAATGGTGAATAATTTGTTATTACGTTACATGAAATTGTAGGTTCCAGTGTACGTTGCAGGTCAGCTAATGGGATCAATTCTTGCGAGTGCCACATTAGCCTTGGTGCTTGATGTAACTCCTTCAGCTTATTTTGGAACTGTACCAGTTGGCTCCAATGCCCAATCTTTTTCTGTAGAAATCATCATCTCCTTCCTCTTGATGTTCGTGATTTCCGGCGCCACCACTGATAATAGAGCGGTTTGTAATTTAATTTTCAGTTTTACAGATATATTTCACTTATATGTTATTATTAATGCTCAAAATTGATCGAAACAAATCATCCTTTTACAAAGATTCCAAGAGCTTTTCCTTTTTCTTCGGGGAGGGGTTTTCTCCATAAATTTGCTGTGTGATATACTTAGAACATAATCAATGACTAACTTATCAATACCTTAGACATAAAGTCAAATAATAAATTTTCTGGCAGCATAAGTTTACTCAAATTATTATTAATAAGATATTGCTTACAATTTCATAGAATTGATTAACAATGTGGACCATATATACAAACATGACTCAGTTTTTTTTCCCATTTTGACAGGTGGGAGAACTAGGAGGAATAGCTGTTGGAATGACTATTATGCTGAATGTCTTTGTGGCTGGGTAATCTTTCACTTTGAGCTTGTGAATTTCATTTCCTCATTTGTTATACTTCTACTTTTTTTTCTTAAAATATTAATAGAAATTAGGTATACTAAATTAAAGAAAATTATTAATGGGAGGCAGGCCAATTTCTGGAGCTTCAATGAACCCTGCAAGGAGCATCGGGCCAGCACTCGTTAAACATGTTTACAAGGGACTTTGGTTATACATATTTGGACCAATCATTGGAGCTATAGCTGGAGCGTTCATCTATAACCTAATGAGATTTACAGACAAATCTCTTCGTGACTTAACCATGAGAAGCAACTAACTCTTTCTTCATCAGCATCTCCAATAATTAATAACTATTCTTTGTTTAGTTCATTTTTGTATCATTTACATTTATTTTATCCGCAAGTTTTCAACAGTTTTAAATTTGAAATTTTTATATATTTTCAAATTCTCAAATTCAAAACTTGAAAGAGAGTATTGAAATTTATAAGATGAAAGAAATTATTTTTCTTTATCCATCTTATATTTTAATATAAAACTTGGCATGTAAAGAAATTTGTCAGAGCTTGAAAGAGGTGCATGCCTCGACTTCTTTCCCCTTATTCAAGCAGAGGGAAGGAAGGTGGTCAAGCATCCACAAGCTGTTATTGATGAGGTTGGCAATTCATGGAATTCTGACTTGGTGGTGTAGTTTTTGGGGAATTTTGTTGAAACATTTTCAAATAAAATGTCTGTTGTAAAAATCGTATTTGAAAATTATATATGTTGAAAATAAGAAAATAAAGAGGAATCACGTCTATTGAAAAAAATTAAAAATTATATTTATTTAAAATAGAAGATGTGATTGTTTGAAAAAGACACAAATTGTGTCTATTGAAAATAGACATCTATGCCTATAAAAAAGGACCATCCTTTAAATACCAGAATATATATAAGAAACCAATAATATCTTTCCTTCTTTTTTTTCAAACATTCTCTAATTCTTCTATATTATTTTCTTACAGAAAAACATTATAAAAGTCTGATAATCTAGTTATACTCTGGTAAGTACTCAATGGATTAATTTCGTTAATGCAAAATGCCATCAATCATTGAGTTTTATTATATCTTCGAAATTTATACGCTAACAATTGTTTTGTACACTATAAGTGAGGACGAATAAAATTTTAAAGACAATGATATTAATATATGCCTTGAAACTAATTTGTAAATTTTCTAATTTGGTGTTCTAACAAATCCAACTAGCAATTGAAACATAAGCTAAAAGCTGCATACTTAATTTGAGGGAAATCAGGTACGAGTGCATTAAACTTGCTGGAAGGTCAATGTTCATTTTTTTTTTTATTCCCTTCAAATGGCGCTAGATTATGGAATCAGGATTAAGGCAGTTGAATCACAAGCCAACAACAAATCGTAGGTGGCAACCTGGTATGGGTTTCACGGCAAAGCAGAAAATTTCATAGGATTAGATTTTGTGTTGAAATTTTAATTTTAAAATTTAAACATTCCCTTATCTTTGTTGGTTTTAATTTTTAGATTCCATGATAAGTGATATAATTTTAATGAGATTGTGATAATTGCCCATTATTTGATTGAGATTGTGATAATTATCTATTATTTTTTAAAAAAAATTTTAATTTTGAGATAGTAGTTATCACCTTGATGGGAGGAATTTTGCTTATAAAAGAAAACCTATAAGTTCCCAACCCTAAGACGATCTATTAAAAAAAAAAGTACCAAATTACCATTATTGTAAATTGTTTTTTGGATTGGAAGAATTCATAAGGAAAGATTGAAGAACTCTAGAAGAAAAGGCTTGGATGATTGGAGGTTAGTGTCATGATCTTTATTGGATGATGATTTGGTAAGTTTATTTGCCAATAAACAAAAGTGCAATATTATTGTTAAATCATAGTTAATATTTGCCAATACTTATTTATTTCTACTTCTACTATTATTTATTATTTATATATATATGTGTATACATATGTTTATAAATATACTTAACTTGTAGCATCAGAGCAATGAATAATCTCTACCAAACATATTTGATGAGTTATTCAAAAATTGTATGCTTATAATCTTCTATATATTTCTAAAATATTATTCTAAAATATTATTTTTAAAAAGTTATAAGCCTTAGTATTAATCTTGCTTTTGTAAAATCTTTTATAGAGACTCATTGTCTATTAAAAAACAATTAGATTTTTTTATAGCTCTCTTGCAACAGTTGTGATTGAGAGTACAAAAGAGCCAAGTAATAGCTTCTGGTTAATGTTTACATTGCAAAGTATTATAAAATATTCAATTAGTTTGTGAATAATTGGTTCATAGATTTTGTTATTACATAATGCTGGAAAATAGTTTGTGCTTCTGTTGTTTAATTGATGAAAACTATTTAATATTGAGTTAACTGCTCTCTGCTTGTCGAAAATGTCCAAATCTTATCACATTAATCAGTTCATTCTTCATCTCCAAAGAGGTATAGCTTTGTTTACTACGAATTAGAAAAGTCTTGAAAGAAAATATTTTTTTTGCATTTTTGTATTGGGTCTAAATTGGTTCTGTTAGTCTATGTTCTAACATTCCAAATCAATTGTGTGAATTGTCTAGACCAGAATAAACAAATATTGTGTTTACTTTTATGTAATTTATTTAGATCAGAATAAATGGATATTGAAATTTGTTTATTTATATTTTTGTTTGGGTTTATTGGTTGTTAATTTAAATAGACTATTTTGTATCAAAAACTAATGGGCCCATAAACCTAAAAAAAGTAAACTCATTTAAATAAAGTTAATTTTAGATCTAATTTAGTTTTCTAAATCTAATTAGTTTGACTATATTAATCATGGAAGGAGTTTACTTAGTCCAAATTAAGTTTATTTATTTATTTATTTTTATTTGGTCAAGATATTATTAGTATAATAAATTAATTGATATTTAATTTATGTTATACTTATTTTATGTATGTTTTGATTATTATTGTGATGTCATGTAATCGTATATATTTGAATAGCTGAGATTAGCCACACATCTTAATTATGATAATATATATATTTTTATTTATTTGGATCACATCAAGTATAAATGACATCATATTCAAATTAAACATGTTTGTATAATTATTTTACCTCACAGGGAAATTATTATATTTCATGATTAATTAGGATGAAATAGAAATTATTTTTATTTCTTAATTAGCCCATTGGTATTCGAAAATATTAATAATTTTTAGTTTCATAATAAAAGTTAATGAATCATTATATGTTAGAATCTTTGTCCATAAGTAGATTTTGATGACATGTTGATTCGTGTATATTTTGATTTGTCTTATATTAGTAAGCATGTTTATTTACTTATTTATTTATTTACAATTGATCAAATTTTGATGGTCTTTGATAATAAAGTTCCCTACTTGAGTGGTGACAATTATAAAGAGTGGAAGGAGAATGTTCTTCTCCATGTAGGATGCTTGGACCTTGACTATGCTCTTCGTAAAGATGAGTTGATTGTACTTACGAGTACTAGTACTCAAGTTGAGATAGTATTGTATGAACGATGAGAACGATCAAACTGTTTAAGTATGATGTTTATCAAATTTTACATTATGAGCAGTATTTGTGGGTTGATACTCGATTGTAAGAATGTCAAGGATCTAATGAAGGTTATTAATGAGCAATTTGAGCCGTCTAATAAAGCATTTGCTAGCACCTTAATGAGCAAGTTGACATCGATGAAGCCAACTGGTGTTAAACACATCTGCGAACACATTATGCAAATGAGGGATATTGTTGCTCAATTAAAATCCCTAAAGATGGAGATTTCTGATGATTTCTTGGTGCACTTTATCCTGAACTCTCTTCCATCTCAATATAATGCTTTCAAAATCTCTTAGAACACACATAAGGAAAAATGGTCAATCAATAAACTTTTGACAATATGCATTCAAAAGGAAACAAGATTGATTCAAGAAATAGATGAAAGTGTATATTTGGTAATAGGAAACAACAAGCAAGCCTTTAACAAGAAAAGAAAGGGGAAATTGAATGCAACTGGCAAGTCGAATGGACCTACCCATATTAGAAGGAAAGACAAATCTAGGTGTTCTTTTTTTTTTTTTGTAAAAAAAAAAAGACACATAAGGAATGCTTGTCCTAAAAGGAAAGCTCAACTTGAAAAGAAAGGTAATCTCATATCTTATGTGTGTTATGAATCTAATATGGTTTATGTTTCCCTAACACTTGGTGGATTGATTCTAGTTCTACAATTTATGTTTCTAATACCATACAAGGATTTTTAAACTTAAGGAAACCAACAAAGAGTGAATGTAACATTTATTTTGAAAATCAGATGCCTTCACATGTGAAAATTGTTGGAACTTACATACTAGTTTTATCAACTAGTTTTGTTTTGGATTTAGAATGAACTTTTTACATTCTAAGCTTTTCTAGAAATTTAATTTCTATTTGAAGACTTATTCCTTTGGGTTTTTCCTTCAACTTTTTTGGAATATCTTTTAATTTATTTAAAAATGCAACTATTGTTGAAAAAGGTACAATGGATGATGGTTTGTTCAAAACTCATTTAAGTGATAGTGTTCCTTAAAGTTTAATGGCTTTACATGATAATGCTGGCATTAAGCGTTGTGTTATGAATGAGAAAACTTTCATGTTATAGCATCGGTGATTGGGACATATCTGTCTGTAAACAAAATTGCACTATTATTGTTAAATCATAGTTGATATTTGCCTATACTTATTTATTTCTACTTCCATTGTTATTTATTATTTATATATATATGTACATGCATATGTTTATGAATATATTTAACATTGTGGTCATGGAAAACACTTTGAGATCAATTGTATCACGCACATAATTAATACTGCAAACAAATTTGTTGTAATCGCTGATGATAATCTTGATGATACACAAATGGTAGTACATACTGACAAAACTACTTTGGAGAAACAATCCCTGGCAGGGGAAGATGTGTGTAAGGAAGTCCAATTTGACAACAATTCTGAACTTGAACTTGATGCGGTTGAAACCTATGTTTGAAATTCTTAGTTTGGAATAACATGGGGTTTAATGTCTCTAGGGATTTTGATCTTTTTCAATTCCTTCATGCTGCACCTCATCACTTCACTCGCCTATGTGAGACGGGGAGGGAGGGTGGCTCATGAGATTTTGTGAGGTTCTTCTTCTCTGACGTATTTAATGAGCCATGAACTGCGGTAGGGTACCTAGAATGGTTACGAATTTTGTTCATGAACAAAGGTTCCTATGTTAAAAAAAAAAAGGAAAAAATAGAAAAGAATGTAAAAAAAAAAGGCACTAACTTTTTCTATTTTTAATGTTAATTGATTAATGATATCTCTCTTTCTAGGTCTTCATTCATGTGATTTTTGGCTTGCCATTAACTCCTCTGGCTCTATCCAGGCTCCTCTCCTTTGCTGTTTTTTAGGGAGTGGCTTGGCTAATGACATTGCTGGTTTTTTTGAGGTGGTGGATGTTCTCTTTTGATTAGGGTGGAGCGATGGGATGGCTATAGGCGGAGGGATGTGTCTCAAGATTGATGCTTGAGTAACAATTGGATGGAGGATTAATGCCTTGGGGTTCAAGGGTTGTGCTACTCTGTTTCTTTGGAGGCTGTGTTTTGGGAGTTTGTGCAGATCAATCTCAAGGGTAGCGGCGGGGAGGGAGGGGAGGTTGATGTTGTTGCTTGAGGATGTTATGATTGTGCCGCTGGTAGCCTGGAAGATTGTTAAGGCAATGAGATGCCATGTTGCTTGAGGTTGAAAGGTTCGTGCTGCTGGACCCTTCTTTTCCAGGTAACATGGGGGATGACAAGGTGGTGTGATGTCATGTTGGGTATGGTTGCCAGGTTTGTTTATGGACAGGGCTGAATTACAGAAGATCTTGAAAAAACAAAAAAGTATTTCTGATCGACAAAAAGTCATTCTTGACTTATATATTACTCTTGCTAAAATCAAAGCCACTTTTCTCATCCACAGTGTCATTTTAGAAGGAAATATTGTCTTTTTTTTTTTTTTACCCTTATCCATTCATTCATTTTTTGATAAAATCAACTTGACTGCAATTCATTAAATTTATAATTTCTAATAAAATCAATTTGATTTAAAGTCATTAAAACTGTTAAATCTGGATTCATGAAACAAATTTGAGTTCAAGAGTATAGTAATGTAAAACTTATTTAAAGAATAGTCCCAATTAATCACGTGTTAGATTATTTTTATGATTGCAAACAATCTTAGAATGATTTTTTATTTTTATTTTCATGCCATCTTTCACTAATATCACCAAAAAAAACTTTCATTAAAATCATTTTCTATTTGATAATTACTTAAAATAAGTAAAGTGAAATTCTCATTATCAAAAATAATAATAAAACTTTTTCCTATCCTTAACTTAAAATTTAAGTTACCAATTCTCATCAAACGTAAATAAAAAAAAAACAAAAAGAAAATATTTCCTTAATTTCCCAGAATGTGGCGGCGGTGGTTGTCGTTATTTTTCCTTTCGTTTCTGGAAGACAAGGAGGGCTGGTGAAACCAGACATAGGTACTAGAGAACCCTACACCCATAAAACTAAGACCCAAACAAGCAAGAAACCCCAATAACCCTGCTGCGTGCTAGGTATAAAATTTGTGTTCTTGCGGTTTAGTATTGAATTTCACTATTATAATTCGGAACTAAAGTTACTTCCTTTCCTTTCCAACAAGTAGAATAGTTCTTTATTTAACTTTATCTTATTGTTGATAAATTGAGATTTATTTGTCTTTAAATGTCATGGTTTGGAGTTTTGTCAAAAACATTTGTTTTTGATAAAAATATGTGAGAAAATTTAATGTTTTGCGCTGATTTCTTATGCTTTGGTTTATGTGTTATATATATTAGATTTGATGTGGGTTGCTCGCTCAATTTGAATGAATTGCTGCTTGTTGAATAAGTTGAATTGGTATTTTGGTTGACATTGAATTGCTACTGTATATATTTATTTAGTTCTTTCGTTCTTTTATTCTTTTCGTCAGCGTGGACTCATGGTTGGTCATGGTCCTTCTGGAAACTTGAATTTTAAGGGGTTACTCTGCCGGATTCTCTAACTAATTCACTTTGCTTTATGTTGGTTTATTTTATTTCAGTTTGGAAGTTCCAATTTGTGTTTCAACTTTATCTGATTGTGTCGGAGTATGTTTCGTAGATCCAACTGCTCAGTTTACACAATCTGAAGATGCTTCTATTATAATGTTCGCAAGGTGTTTGATTCAATGTCTTTTAGCAGGATCTATGTCAATGGCATTAAGGGGTTACTGGAGATCATACAGCTCAAAGGTGGACTTGAAGAAGCTGAGGCCGATGATACTCAAGAGAATAGAGAATCGAGCTAAGGACTATCCAGTGCCTGGAATGATTCCAGTGGCCCAAGAGGTCCTCATGGCCAGAGCACTCCTCTTCCAAGGAGTCTCCATCCTTCTCAAATTGTTCCCTGTCCTTGCCTGCAAGTAAGTCCCTCCCTCAATTTCTATATTCAAATAAACCTTAATCCAAGTTTGCATCATCTTTGCACATATGTTCTTTTGTGCTAGACTTAACTGTTATAATATCTGCATCAAAGACTTCTAGTTAGGTTGTCAAGTGATAACTTGTTTGGAAATTTCACTACTCACTGATGAACTCATATATCATGTTCTAGAAATACAACCCCAATATGTCTATGGAAAGAGCCAAGCTGTAATATATAAAACTTTCAAGTGGCTTAGACGAGTTTTTCAGTAGATTAGTGTTTAAATGCTAGCTTTGTCCCAAGATGGATTTTGACATTCCCCTTGCCAGTGTAGTGCTTTCCTCTGAGGGTGCAATCACAGAGACCTTAGTGCCCTCTGATTTGCTGAGAGTGAAATCATGCCATGTTTGCTCTAAGGTAATGGAAGAACAGCCTGTACTCCACCATGGACCTTGTAAAATGCCTCCACCATTTTAAGGTACAATACTGTCTAGACAGCAGAATCTGACTGATTTAACTGCCTCTAATGTTAGACTTTCCTGTTTTGCTTGCACTTTCTGTATATTATCTCCAAATGATTGCAGAAAGTATTTTGCACAAATAGGTAGTCTTTTTTTAATGCTCATAGCAACTCTTACAGCAATAAATTGTCCTAGAATTTGGACTGGATGCAAAGTTTTAGTTGTGAGTCCCAGGATAAAATTTGTTTATTTTAGTCAGTGAATCCATTATAGATACAAGTTCAGTAATTGCTAATTAATTAAACATGGAGTAATGGTTTCATGGGAATTTGGGGGATAACTGACTCTTCCTGAACTTAATTGCCCTTGTAACATGCATGAGTATGAATCAAACTGTTGACAGGTATTCGAGTTCCTTTGATTTCTATTCTATATTTATAAATGTTCTGCATGTCCTGCTGCAAAGAGCAGTCACTTCTCTTTTCTGTCACCTCTGTGACTTCATAAGCAGACAACAAGGGAAAACTGCAATGCTACTGTCATATATTATTGCTTGTTGGTCAATAGATTTGTCTCCACAATGCTATCACTTGCATTTTAAGAATAATAGAATGCTCATTTAGAACACAAAGTAAGCAACTTTAGTTTGCAGTCAACAAGGCAAATACCTCTCTCTCTCTCTCTCTCTCTCATTTGGGTTGAAATTTCAGAGTCATATTTATGTTTGCATTTGGAAGAAGTCTACTACTTTTCATGATAGATGAGACTGGAGGGGAAACCTTTGTTTCCATAAGGAAATTTCTCTAGTTTTACTGCATTACTCCAGCCTCTATTCAGCAAAATATTACCAAAATACCAAGTTGCAATTTGATTCATATAAATCTTCGCAGGTTCTGTCCAGAAGTATATATTGGTGAGAAAGGCCATTTAATCAAAACTTGCTGTGGATACAAGCGCATTGGAAAGAATCGCGTTCATGAATGGGTCAACGGCGGTTTGAATGATATTCTTGTCCCTGTAGAAGCATTTCATCTGCACAACATGTTCCAAGGTGTTATCAAACACCAGCAAAGATTTGATTTTGAGCGTGTTCCTGCCATTGTGGAGATATGCTGGCAAGCAGGGGCTGATCTAAATGATGAAAATTTGAACTCTGGTCCATTAGTTGCAGATGAATTTTTTGGTGGTGTCAGAGGGATTGAGTCTTTGTCACATGATGATTTGACTGTGATAGCAAATGGCACCTTGAGGGCATGGGAGACACTTAGATCTGGCATTAAAAAGCTTCTATTGGTCTATCCGGCAAAGGTTTGTAAATATTGTTCTGAAGTTCATGTGGGGCCATCTGGCCATAGGGCTCGTCTTTGTGGAGTGTTTAGATATGAAAGTTGGCGTGGAGCCCATTTTTGGAAGAAGGCAGGGGTTGATGACTTGGTCCCACCAAAGATTATGTGGCGGCGAAGGCCTCAAGATCCATTAGTGCTTTTGGATGAAGGTCGGGACTACTATGGGCATGCACCAGCTGTGGTGGATCTGTGCTCACGGGCGGGTGCTATTGTTCCAACTAAGTATTCATGTATGATGAAAGTGAGCGGTTTACCTGCAGCGCTTTGAGTTTAACCTTCCATCTTGCAAGCTAAACCTCAAGAGGAGTTGGTTTCAACATACATCATTGGAGGCACCTTTAGGTCCAGAGCTCTTGTAGACCATCTAAGTAGGCAAGATTCTTGTCTCACATGGTTAGAATTTTTCATCTATGTCTTCATTTGGTCCTTTATATTTTCTTGCATTAACAAAATTTTGTCGATGATCACAATGAGTCAAACATAAATACGTTAATATAAACATGAAATCAATCGTATGTGTATCTGTATGTATTAATAATTGATATACCATTCTGGGTTCCTTTTGCCATTTTTTCAGCCTTGAGCTCTCTTTTCCTCTCACACATACAGTTTATAGATGAGCGTGCATGTCCACTTGCATGTTTATATTGATAATACTAGGGTGCCTCTTCGCCTTATGATGCTCTGATTGTCAGCTGTTTTAGGCATTTGCAATCAGCTTTAATTTATAGCTTAAATGATTTTATCTTTCGTTTCCTTTGTTCTCATTTCTTTAGTTAAGTGGAGGGATGGGTTGGGTAGGCGGGGTGGGGTGGGGTTGTTAGCTTCATGTGTTGACCTGCTATAAGATTACTCTTAGTAATAGCTTTCTCTCTTCCTCAATTAATGGCATTCGGCAACAGGCAATTACACCTAGTAAAAACCTGAACCTACATTAGAATTTGAAGTTTAGGATGAGAGGGTGGACACCTATTCTAATAAATCTTTCACAATTAGTTTAAACCATTTGCATCTGTAACAGTTCATTTGTATGCTCTAAATTGAATGTCTTTGCTTTTAGTTTCAGGGTATCTTATTCCTTATTCTTTCTAACATATTGCTTTTCTGAATTTTTGATCATTCTTGTGACATTCCCAATTAATATTTAAAACTAATCATTCACTTTTATATTAAGAAAATTATAAAGTTCGAATGTTAATCTGCATGCAAGACATGATTGTTCCAAATCTTTTATATTATTAATTAAAGAACTAATCTAACCAATTGTTTCATAATCTTTATCTCATAACCCATATATAACTGGAAAAAAACACATTACAATGTACGGTTTGCAAATTTAAACCATTAGCCATATCACTAGTGTCATAAATTAGCCTATTTGATCTACATTACTAAGCAAGCTAAAGATTACAGAGGGTTGGCAAGCATACCATTCCTATATTTGGGCTTTGACAAGATAAGGTACTACTCACATGTCACATCGCTTACTTTATTTGGCGTTTGGTAGAGTCAAAAAGGATTCTTCTATAGTTTGAGATATATATGTGGTAATTTTTTCTCCTTGCCATACTCCCTCTGATCAACATGGTGCAATTCTACCCAAGGCTTAAAAGAATAAATGAAATGCCATCAACTACTCTAGGAGAAAGAAGCTTCTCCTCTTATGGCATATTTGGTTTGTCGTGAAATAGAATAATAGGTGGTAAGACATCTAATTAAGGGACAGGTTTTAAGTTTTCTATTGATGTTGCCTTATCCAAACTAATCACTAATCAAGCTCAATATTGCAATTAAGTTTATCAAGAGAAAATTCCATTACACATCAACCTGCATGAAATATTCTCATTCATGCAACAAAAACTATGTTAATATCAAACACATGAAAACACAAAATGATAAAAACTCAAATACCTAAGCATAGCGATATATTTCTTTTTGCAAAGGAGCTAGTCCAAAAAAGGTTCGGGCAAGGTAAAAACATGATGATAAGGCGACTCATCCTCGAGCTGATTGAAGAAGAGATAGATGTGAGATCCATCTTGCACTCCACAATCAACTAGAGAGGCTGCATCTTCATCATTTATCGTCGGGTGACTATGATTTTTGTCAACAACCAAGATCATACGTTGGAGTGGCAAATTTTCCTGCACTTCAATCTCTTTCTTGAGATCACCAACCGTGGCATCATCGCCGACTTGAATGTAGAAGAGGTTTCCTGTCAATATCTCCACCACCACCTTCATTGTAAAAGAGTAAACACAGCGGTTTCTTTGCAGTCCCTGTGAAATAGTGGAGAAAGAAAAAAAAAAGGAAAAAAAAATTCAAATAAATATGAGTTAATTGAGAGCTGTTCACGTTAGCTGCATTCTCGCTTCGTTAGTTTTTAGCATGCTTATGATATGGAAAACTTATTTCTCCCATGCAAGTTCTAAGCTCACGTTAGCTGCATTTTCGTTTAGTTAGTTTTTAGCATGCTTATGATATGAAAAACTTATTTCTCCTTCTAGGAAAACAAATTTTGGGATTCATTGGTTCTATTCGATATATAAATGCTAACCGTCAAAAATAAATAATGTATAACATTTTTTTACGAAGGAGTATATAATACATTTTGATTTATAGATTTGTTAAGATAATTATATAAAAAATTTAGTTAAGAGTTAATATACAATATTGTTATCCAATGGGACTATAATATTGTTATAGGTTAGTTAGAGTTAAATTATGTATATATACTTTAATTTTACTTAGGCGATATACATAATTTAAATTTCTCAATATATAATTTAGATTTGTTTGTATTTTATATATTTTTATATTATACAATAGTTTTTCTTTTTCTAAGATTATTTGCAAGGACAATTATGACAAAGATCTCAAGTATTTGAATCAAAATATATAGATTAACTTTCTTTTTCTTTAAAATATTTAAAATAAAAAAATTATTAAGATATCTACAAAAAATTGAATTAGTAAAAATTTATATTCAGATTCTGATGTCTGTTTTCAAAATTTAAGACAAAATGCACAGATTGACTAAATGTCTTCAAAATTTGTGAAAGGAATAGAGATGCAATGATTGGCGAATTTATCTCAACCTATAGGAAGTATTTTGCTAAATTTGATTCGTAGATCAACTAATACAATTGCAAATTGGTTGATTACCTAGATTAGTAAGGGATGTGCTTGTTAATATTCTGAATAAGGATGCTCTTTCTGGTAAGCATTGTTTTTTTGGATTGTTGTATGGCCTTTGTGATGTCAATGGGTAATTGGATATTTACTTAGGTGATTTTTGTGATGATAATAGTTAAGTATTTATTGATTTGATTAGACAGCAACACATAGTATGATATGGGAATAAGTATAACTTTGAGGTCGATGTTAGGATGATCCACATTACTGTTTAAATACTTCTTTATAAGTGTACTTATTATTTCTGTCCAAAACGACGTTTTAATATTATAGGGAATCTTCAGTTATTCAATATTAGAAATTTCAAATGACATAATGGTTTGGACGTTAATAAAAATTTACTTTTCTGAAAAAAAAAAACTCAGTTTTTCTATCTCTTTGTGTTTTCTTTTTGTATTTTGTTTTAATTTATCGTGCATTTCTGAATTTTTGTTTCATAATAAAAATATTTTGTTGTAAAAAAAGCTAATATTGTAATAGAGAAAATAGCAAACAAAACTATTAAAAAAAAAGACAACAAAACTGCATCACAGTACTCTGAAACTATATCCCAACATTGCCAATCTCAAAAACCATCCTCCTAAACTGCTCATTGGATAACTAAAAGAAGCAGAAACCCCCTAGTAAAATGCTACCTAATCAACACCGCATCGTATTTTACTATTGTTCCAATTGATAGCCCAAGTGTCATTCAATTGGACTACCGCGGAGGTTTTTTTTTGTTTTCTTCGATTTTTCAACAAAAGATATGTGATATATATAATTATATGCTGAAGTTACATAAATTACATTCACATTATCAACATTTTCCAATCACTTAAAAATAGGTCTTCTTACATTTTTTTTTTATTATAATTGAAAGAAGATGAATTTAAACCCTACTCTTTAAATAGAAAAATCATATATTAATCAATGAAGCAAATATTCGGGTGCGATCTTCTTATATTCTTCATTGTATAATTTCTATAAAATTTAAAGAAGCATCTGGTAGTATTATTGATTAAATTCCAGCAAATCTAATTCAATGCAAAGTCATGGCAATTTATGCAGATTTGAATAGCCAAAATAACCGACAAAAGCTTGTATCATAAAACATCAAGATTACCAAGTTTCTTTGCTGATAAAAGACTCTATTTATCGCATATAATTTTTCACATTTTGATAAATTTTTCTTTAATTTTGATCAAATATTTTTGAAAAACAGTTTTAAATATTTTTATCATTGATAAATATAAAATAAAAGAAGTAAAAGTTTAAGAATTTTCACCAACGTCAAAAAATTAAAATGTAACAAGTTTATTAGGACGAATGGATAGGGTGTTGTTAAGCAGGATTAAGCATGGTAAACTCATGAAGATTGGATTAAAGAATTTTTATATCAAACAAATCTTGAGAAAAGTGCCATATCAAAGCTAAACTGTAACATTCAAAGAAAGAAAAAGAATACATACCTCTTTCAATACCGAAGCAATTATAATTGAATTCTATATCCATGAAAACAAAAAAACCCATCAGTTAACAGAATGCAGCCATGATTTGAGATCAGAAAATGAAAAAGGGGAAAGATGATTACCAGCAATAAGAATTATCTTACAACATTTTGCTTCTGTTTGTTTTATTCTTGAGGAATTGAAGAGTAGTTACATATAAACCAGCAACTCTAGCTTGTAATCTCTGAAAACCCTAAAACAATTTTGAGAAATTTATTCAATTAACAATTATAAAAGTCTCCAAAACGTTCCTTTTAATTATGGCATGACTCGTCAAATGTTGTTTCCATTATTGTTTTACCTTGGTTGCCAATTATATCTTTAACATTTAAATCTTTACCTTTTAAAGAAGAACCACTACAACACAAATGGGTTTTAACAACACACTATTAGCCGCATTTTCATTTTTGCATCTAAAGAATTTGACATAGTATTAGGGCTTTAAGATTTAGATGCATTTTTTTATTTTGCAGCTCATAAAAAATTTAATATCTTTTATATTTGTTTGTTTTAATTAAGAAATTAACACTCTTACTTCTTACAATCTCTATTTCTCTCTAAATTAAAAGAGTATCAATTATTTTTTTCTTTCTTTTTTTCACTTTTCAAACTAAACACAAAGAATGAAAAATATCTTTCTTTCATTTTCTTTTTCTTTACTCACCTCTTTTTTTTCATCTTTCGAATTTTTCTTCCTTGTTATTAAATAATTTTTCAAAAATTAAATGTGCTAATTGGAGCAAAAACCTAACATTGCAATAGTCTGAGCATGATCGTAAGGTAATGTAATACTAGGAAATTGGAGCATTCATCTTCCTAGTACCTATCATTTGGGAATGTACCCTTTGGTAGATTAATTTTTTTACCATATGAAAATTAATTTTTTGAAAATTAATGAATAAAACATTTTTTTTCTTCTCAACTGTCTCCCCTCCATCGTTCTGCACCTCTTTCTTTTCGTGCAAATTCTTGACCCTTTCCCTCCTTGCACTTCTCCTCTCCAAATTCCAAAACCTCTTTCTTTTCTTTGTGACTTCCTTCATTCATTGCTTTTCCTAATTAAGCTAAGTTCACTTGTAAAAATCTCACCTTTTTAATCTCATCTTCTTTCCCCCAAGAAACTAGGGTTTTGTCAAATGTTACCCCTTTTAGTACAAAACCAAGGCACCCGGTTCTTAAATCTCTGTTTTTTTTTTTTAATTGTTATCACATGATTTAAGATTTCTTTTGTAGGACTTGATTGTTCATTGATTTGATTCTTGCTGGCGTGTTAATCCTTTCCCTTCCATGTGGAAACTAATGCTAGGAAGAATTCTTGTATACTTACCTGCAATGTGCTTATTACATAGTTTGCTTGGTTAACTTTATTCAAAAACAATTTTGTCAATAAATTGCAGTTTACGGTCCTGGTCAAAATATTGTCATCCTAATCCTTCTTATCAAGAATGTGCTTTCCAATCTTCAATGTTAAATTATGCATCATTTGAGACTCGAGTAGTACCATGCTTAAAGAGAGTTAGATATGAAGAGGACAAATAATGAATCTTTTTATAGCGTTACCAGTTTTCTAGGTTCTTTTTTTTTTTTTTCCTTTTTTGCTTTGTTTTCACGTCAAATCAAAGAGGATAAATAAATATTTGATAGTTGGTCAGTGAGTATACTTTGTCTCATGTTACATTATGAACTACTTGCAAATTAATATTATCATACAAATTAATCTTTACAGGTAAAGAAAGTTGGAAACTGCAATGTCGAATGGTTTTATTATACTGAAGAATGGACAAACAAAAATGCCCAAAGAGAAATTGGAGAGAATAAGAGAGAAACGGAGAGATTACTAAAATTAGTTGATTATTCTTAATGAAACTCCATATTGTACACATTGTAAAGACCTTGGGGGTTCCTGTTCCAAGTTGAACATGGTTTTTGAGGCATTTGATTTTTGAGGCATTTGTTGCTGCAATTTGATTTTAAAGGCATTTTATGATTTGTGAGCATGTGTTTTTATCATAAAACTTGTTGCATATTATAAGGTTATATGTGTCTCTATCTTATACCTTTTAACTGCATATTTTATATACTACCATATGATTTAAGATTACAGTCATATAGTATACAGTTGCACTTTAATTTTACTGTTGAATTTCAGAAACAAGTGCAACCATACATTTGCATACATTGGCTAAGGCTGCACTTTCGCTAAGTGTAGCCTTAATCTAAGGCTGCATATTTTTCACCTATTGCTGTAATTTTTTTTGCGGCCATAGGTGAAAAATGTTGTAGTGAACATAAACTTAGTCAACAGCATGCATTCATATATACACCTATATATAACATAAAATGCATATATATATATATAGATATATATATGATTGTAGATGTGTTTGAACATGTAAAAAGTTATGTGTGTTGGGGTGTATGCATAAATAAATATTTATTTGTCTGTAATTCTTTTATTTTATCTATAAAGACTATTTATTTTTGTTATGAATAACTAATTAAGGTATTCCAATTTCATATTTTTGTTGTTAAAAGGCACTAATTAAAAAAACCAATAA